AATGTTCAACCCCCCCCCCCCCTTGAAAACTCCTGAGTACGCCACTAGTTGTACCAGTAAATAAATACAAATTAGTATATGCAGGTCGTTAGAATAAAAGGTTCATGATTTATGACTAAAATCTTAAGGTGCCAAAAAGGTATGTTTAAATACATAACGTTATTAACATTAAAAAGATACATATGAAATCGAAAAATAATTTATGAAAAGTATGTAAAAGCTTTAATTTACAGAAATTATTTTAAATAAAAAGACCATACAAAATAAAATACAAATTTAATGTAAGAAAATAAAGGTTTTTATTTGAATTCGTTTATAATATGTGTATTTACTTTTTTAATGATGTGTATTTACTGTTAAAACAATTGATTTTTTACWATTGTAAATCAACACACCACACACTACACAGTTATCACACAAAACACATTTCACGTTTTAATTTAAGTGCTGCACGGGGAGATGATAATTCCTTTTTTCGTTTATTATGTATAAAATACATATTTGTGTGTGTGTGTATCAGTTAACTTGCGTCTTWTTTTTGCCGTCGATGAAATTAATTTTCACTTGTAAAAATTGCAAAAAAAATTGGATCAAAAATTTTGGTGGAGACGGATCGGTACAAACGACGGCTAACGTTGGAAACTAGTTCCTGATCGCAGACCTGCATCRCCAGTACAACACAATGGGCACGATGATGAATCGTGTACATACACGTCGACTAACGGGGACAGGCCTAACGTCAATGGAACCAATTTTGCACACAACGCGGCATACAACAGTAATGTGTATATATGCCACGAAGTCCTTTTTTTATCATTATATTTGGTCTAATTGTAATGTGAGTGTGTATACCCTGCGCGTGCGCGCATCGAATGGTGGTGTGAATGAAGGGGTAAGGAGGGATTGGAGTAGTAGTCTGGAAGACACCGCCACAACCACACCAACCCCCTCCCCATCCAAACTACGCGCGGTAGCGCAGAGGGAGCCATACGGCCGATTTGACGTTTCGCCGCCGTGCCCAGTCCCCAAAGAAGTCACCGTGAATTTCGATTATATATACGTGCGTTCATAGCAAAACATCACATGTGAGAACGTCACTGAAATTATTCTGTAAACACCGTTCACCAACACTTTATAACGATGCGCACTCTAGCGGTGTAAACAGTATTCCGCAACGGAATTTCCGCTACTAGAGCACTATAATAGCTAATAATAATACTTATAGTGCCTTACCGCTACCTGCCGTTGGTTTTGTTCATAGACATAATAAAAATATTATACACCATGAGTCCATGACATATTATATCACATCTTAAGTCCATGGTGTTTTGTAATCAACGCTTTAATCTTATTTTTATTATTCATATAATATACACTATTAATATTATAGTACCATTTGTAAACGTAAAATATAATATTATATATTTAAGGACTAAGATTAATATCTTGGAAAATATTTTGGCTCTAAACTTGATGTTGTGATATGACCATTTATCGAAGAACCAATATATGTATCATGTAGTACAATAAAAGCATTTTGAACATTTTCAATTTGACATTTAAAATGTTCAAAGTGAAAAATGTTTATCAAGAGTCCAAGAGATTGAAAGTAAATRTAAATGTAGTTTAATGTTTAAATATAATTTTAAAAATAACTAATGATATCCCAACAAAAACACTCATAGGAATAGTATTAATAGTAAAATAGTACTCWCAAGTAAAAATAACATAAAAGTAATTGCTTTAAAATGTGTAATATAAAGTAGAAAAGGTCTAATGTGTAAAATATGCTCAATAATAATTAATTAAAATTTAATAGAAATTAATTATTTATATTTACTTATTTAATAGGAAAATAAATTATTTTCATAGGTATATCTATGCTAAAAGTGCTTAGCACCCCCAAACTCAAAATAAGTACCTCTATATTAAGTATAATAATTTCTATGTTATATGTTATATTATCATTTTTAATACTTAAAATAGGGAGTTTAAATATTTCTATTTTTTTTTAATGTACCTACTCATGTAACTTTAAATATATTTATTGATTTATAGGTATTCTATATACTGGGAAAACATTTTTTTAAATTATTTAATTTGTTTTAATGCACGGTCTACTGATAAGTTAATTTTGGAGGGACTCAAACATCCCCTATCTACTTACTAAGTAGATTCGCGCCTATGATTATTTTAACTGAAATTAATTCAAATTTAGTTTACTTGGCAKGAAGATTTAGCCATTTTATAGTTTGCGTTATGTAATATAAAAAATAATGCAGACATTGTTAGAACTACTGAAAAAAGTAAATATTAAAAAAATTAATCAATACAATYTTCAAWAGATATACTGTGAAAACATTGAAGACACATTTATTGAGTATTAAGTAGGTACATACTTAAATTCCACTTTGAATGAATAATGTTATAAAAAAGTCCAATGACTAAATTACTTCTCAGTTCTCTGTGCCATAAAAATATTTAAATAATAAAAAGCTAATAAAAATCACATTTATATTTTATATAATATAATATATATTTATTATATTATATTTAAGTCCGACTTATTTGGTTTGAAATTATAAAAWTATACACATTTTATAAGCTAACTGTACTTAATATGTTGTATATTATAYTAAACATTTTAATATAGTAGATATGAATATTATAATTGCATATTAACATATAATTAGAAACAGTTAGGTAAGTAAATAAAAAATAAATCTTATCTTTTGAATTTTTAATATTACCTATATATGTATATTGTATATATAGGAGTAAAATATTTGGAATACATTTTAGAATTAATACTAAGATTTTGTTTTCACTTTCAAATTAGATTAATTCAATGTTGAATATAGTACTATATTAAAATACCTATCATATTTTTTTAATTGTTAGTAACTAGTTAATAGTCATTAAATAAAAAATGTTTTATAACATCAGAAACTAGTCTGTAACTACACTATATTTTATAAGAACCAATTTCATGTACTATGTTTTATGTTAAATAACTAGATATACAAAATATTAATTTTTTWCATAATTTTATAATGCTATATACTTCTAAAATTCATTTTTAAGTGGTATAATAATGACAACCGCAATTACAATCGCGGGGTAAGCTGAAAAGGTTCTATTGGCCTGTTATCACCATAATAAATGTCCATTATAGTCTTACTCTAATACTCTGTGATGTCAATACTCCTTCATAATAATTATCAACTATCGTATTTTCGTATTTAGTGTTTGTCTATACTAAAGAACTAATTGACTTGAAACTTTTACGAATTGATTAGTTTTGAGTATGCCATTGCAGTATACTATTACCATAGTAGGTCATAACTCGTAGATAGATTCGACACAGACAGTCTTTAAGGAGTGCAGTATAGGCAATTTTCTATAAGTGTAGGTCTTGTATAATGTGCGCTCGTTCCCACACGTACAAGTACATTTCAACATTGTGTTACATTTTTTTTTTGTCAAAAGTATTAACTTTTAAAACACTCCGCCACTTTGGTATTATATAAAAGTGTACCGTGTAAAAATATCACTATATGTAAAATAAAATCATTTGATTAAGTTAAGTTGTTGCATAAAAAGGGTCTTAATAATTTTATACATTTATTAGTAGCTATAGAAAAAATGTATAATTATTTATACCTTTTTAGGTAKTAAAGTATTGAAGTGTGCTTATATTTAATACCTACAAATACAATAACTTGGCTTGGCGGGTAGGTAGTGCCGCTACTATTATTTAACTATAGACTAGTCATTAAAAAGTTACCTACAAGGCTACAACAGGCTACAAGACGTGTTTATAATTTAGAATAGTACATTAGTGTATTAATTACACATGCTATTATATACTTATAGGTATATTACGCCGTATACCCCTGAATTGAAATGATAGATAGTATTCACAATATGCATATCCTCCTACCCCCATATTTTTATATTATTATTATTTTTATAATAACCTGCAAGTTTAACTAGCTATTAATTGTATTATATAAATGGCAAATGCTTGTCTTCAAACTTTTTTTTTTACCTTATGACGTTATTACGTCATGTGGAATTGTGGATAATAGAGTGTTTTTGTTGAGATATAGCATAAGCATAGAGTAAGAATAAGCAACGGATACAGTAACTTGGGGGTGGGGGTGACTTGGGATGTGTTATTATAAATTAAATAGGTCTGACGGATATACCATAAACCTATCGTATTACGGAATACCTCGAAATTCCCGCCAAAAAACGTTGCGCACAACAAGTGAACGCCGAAACCGTACGCACGCGCATCAAAGACGCGGCCGTCAGTGGTGCGCACGCGCGTCCGGCACGTCGTATAATAGGCTACGCGAAATCCCGGCGATCGGTTTTCGTCGGCCATCTTTCGAAAACCGTTTTTTTCTCCTTTTWTCGGTTAATTTTTTTGTAATTCTTATTTTCATTACGATGTCCGTCTCGTGACGAGCTGCGGTCCTCTGTCTTCAACTGAGCGTTTTTCCGTTGATCCGGCCGTTCGCGCGTCTTCAGTTTCGCTGCTTCTGCGTTTGCATTGGAAGAGAAAAAAGATTCGTCGTAAGTAAACTAGCGTCAATCGGCCGTTTTGGAGGGAGGAAAGGTAAAAAAAAACATAAAATAATTAAACCGTTCGCCGGTTAACGCGTAGTGCCGTAGTGGCGTAGTCACTAGTCTGCCGATTACCCTTGGTAGCGCGTACGGTCTCAATAATTGTTTCAAATATTTCSTCCGTTCTTTGTCGGATCTTGGATTTCGGTTTATCGCGAGCTGACATTATAGACGTAGGCAGCCACAGCCGCCGGTCAATATCGTTGTCAACCCCAATACTCCAATCAGTGAAACAATACGCCGATAGGTAAATGTGGCAAATTAGAACGGTTTTAATTACAATGATAATAATTTTGACAACCATAACACTTCCGTTGTTTACTAACAGCTAATCACGCGTCGGCGGCGTCTAGACGACGACGGACAACCGTTTAGACCGTTATCTGGCGGCACCGCCGATCCGACTACTCGACGCACATTTTGATGTCGTCAACTTGGCCGTTTTTTTCGATCGATTGCTAGGGAGCCGATTTTTCATTTACATAATATATCGGTTAAATTGTTTTTGTGTTTCCAGAGATCTTATGATTTTCTTCATCCGTCTTTGTTTACTATTTGTTTCTTTCGTACAATCGATATTTTTTATAGGTGTTTTATGATATTATGTGATTATCTAGTCATCTACCTATCATTATACCGTTTTAGCAGGTTAACATTCACTGAAAATATAGGAAATCTGTATGCCCTTTTAATAGTATTTGATTTTGTTTCTTTAAATAAAATAGRTTTTATTTATTTGTTTGTCTTCWTTTCTCAGAACAGTCATATTTGTTTGCCAACCATTTAACTGTCGCCGGTATGGCGTCTGTAGAAAATGGAACGCCGCCTGCGGCTCCCAAATCAAAGAAGACCGCTGTCGAAGAAATCTATCAAAAGAAATCTCAACTTGAACACATATTGCTTAGACCTGATACATATATTGGTAAGTATTTTTAGTTTCAATATGTGTACTTGTATTATGTTAATTAAGTTTTAAGTAGTTATTAATCAAATGTTGTTGTTTAGGCTCTGTCGAACCTGTCACAGAGTCTATGTGGGTCTATGATTCTGAAGAAGATTCTATGGTTCAAAGAGAAATTACTTATGTACCTGGACTTTACAAAATTTTTGATGAAATATTGGTGAATGCTGCCGATAATAAACAGAGAGATCCGAGTATGGATACAATTAAAATTGAGATTAATAAGTAAGTGAAATCTCACTAGAAGTGAACAATTGTGTTATATTYAACTGATATAAAATTTACTGGYTTACACGTTTTAATTCATACATATTAATACTATTATACAACAGCCCTTCAAGCCTATCTCCACATTAAAAGTAACATTTTATATTTTATGCTACTCACAATATTAAAGTAGCATATAACATTCATTATTTATCTTTTGTATGAAGTGATTTTAATTTGAATCTTTTTATTTTACTTTTAAATGAATTAATTTTATTTAAAATACATATTGGATTAAAACAATTTAAATCTATAATGTTAATCAGTGTGTTCTAAAATAACCTTATTTTCGTAAGGGAAGCAATTTTTTCTAACAATCAAAACTTAGTAGATATTGACTTTTTGATAGCATTTGGCTTATTATACTTCTTAAAATTATAAAGAAATATTAATTATTCTTTATTTTTATAAAGGTAACAATTAGGCCAGACGTCACTAATTAATATTTTTGAAGACCTATATTATAAATCTGAAAATGATTTGCGTACCATCAAAATTGCTAATATTGGTTAAAATTAAAAACCAATGAAAAAAAGGTTATAAATTACAACACTAATACGTTTTGTATTATATTTTTCTTTTCTTTTTTTTTGTCTGCGGGATGKAATAAAAATCATCTGACTCCTATTTGGTGACCCTTGAATTAGTCAGTTTTATTATAAGTTATAATTTAACAGATAAATTTTATATTTACAAATATTTAAAAAAAATTGGTTAGTGTTATTTATTATTGAGCAATTATTAATTAATATAGATGTATATAATGAAAAATGTTTAATTAAATTTAAAGTTATTGAGTCAATTTTTTTTAGGGATGAAAACATAATATCAGTTTGGAACAATGGTAAAGGTATTCCTGTTGTTGAACATAAAGATGAAAAAATGTATGTACCTACAATGATTTTTGGACATCTTTTAACTAGTTCTAATTATAATGATGAGGAAGCAAAAGTTACTGGAGGAAGAAATGGATTTGGTGCCAAGCTCTGTAATATATTCAGTAACAAATTTACTGTCGARACAGCTAGCCGTGAATATCGCAAAGCATTTAAACAGGTAATTATTTTGTTTTCACATTTTAAGTATGTTTTTATTAATTTTATATGACAACATTTAGACTTGGGCAGATAATATGGCTAAATCTTCAGATCCATCCATAAAAGAGGTGAAAACTAATGATTATACCAAAGTATCTTTTAGCCCAGATTTAGCGAAATTCCGTATGACATGCCTTGATAAAGATATTGTTGACCTAATGTCAAGGCGAGCCTATGATGTTGCTGCATCATCTCGTGGTGTAAAAGTATATTTAAATGGCAAACTTCTTCCAGTGAGTATTTTTATTTTTAATAACAAACCTCTATTGAATATTCTTTAATTACTGTTTTCAGATAAAAAGCTTTCAGGATTATGTGAATTTGTATATCAAAGGAAAAGAAGATGAAATAGGAAATCCTTTAAAATTAGTGTATGAAAATGCAGGACAACGGTGGGAAATTGCAGTTACTATGTCAGATAGTGGTTTTAAACAAGTATCATTTGTGAATAGTATTGCTACAACCAAAGTAAATTCTAAAAAGTTAAATTATATATATATTTAAATTGTGTTAATTATGGCATTAAATTATTTTGCAGGGTGGTAGGCATGTAGATTATATTACTGATATGATTGTTAAACAACTAGTGGACATAGTAAAAAAACGTAATAAGGGTGGTATGGATTTGAAGAATCATCAAGTTAAAAATCATCTGTGGGTGTTTGTGAATTGTCTTATTGTTAATCCTACATTTGACTCTCAAACCAAAGAGCATATGACATTGCAAGTGAAGAATTTTGGATCAAAATGCACATTAAGTGAGAAGTTTATTACAGGTGTAAGTTTCATACAATATTAATCTCGTACTGTAACTACTGTTATTATTATATTAATTATAATATAATACTATTTATTTTTAAGATCTGATATCAGGATTAAAATTAATTATTTTGTATTATAGGTATCCAAATGTGGTATTGTTGAAGCAGTACTAAGTTGGGCTAAATTTAAAGCTCAAACTCAACTACAGAAGCAAAGTGGTAAAAAACAAAGTAAACTCAAAGGAGTGCCTAAACTTGAAGATGCTAACGATGCTGGTACCAGAAATTCAATAGATTGTACATTGATATTAACTGAAGGAGATTCAGCTAAATCATTGGCAGTTTCTGGATTAGGTGTGGTTGGTCGTGATAAATATGGAGTATTTCCTCTCAGAGGTAAATTGTTAAATGTTCGCGAAGCTTCTCACAAACAAGTAAGATTTTACCATATAAATACATTTCATCACTATGTATTTTTATATTTTTAATAAAACATTTTAGATCATGGATAATGCAGAAATAAGCAACATTGTTAAAATTGTTGGATTGCAATACAAGAAAAAGTATGAGACAATGGAAGATTTAAAGTCTTTGAGATATGGAAGATTAATGATAATGACTGATCAAGATCAGGTAAAAATCATTTAATTTTAAATAAGGCATTTATACAAACATAAATACTAGTGTGACTATTAAGTAACTGTGTTAATATTAAATTAATTTGTAATAATTAAATAGCAATTATGGTTTTTAGGACGGTTCTCATATTAAAGGATTGATAATTAACTTTATTCATCATAATTGGCCAACATTGTTGAAATTACCRTTTTTAGAAGAGTTTATTACTCCTATTGTAAAAGCCACTAAAGGAAAAGAAGAAACATCATTTTATTCATTACCTGAATTTGAAGAATGGAAAGATACTACAAGAAACTGGAATAAATACAAGATAAAGTACTACAAAGGTTTGGGTACCTCAACTTCTAAAGAGGCYAAAGAATATTTTCAAAATATGAAACGCCATAGAATATTGTTTAAGTATGAAGATGCTGGTGATGATGAACATATTGAAATGGTATTTAAAATTAATTCAAGTATCTATAGTTTGTTTTATTAAATATAATTATTTTTAGGCTTTTAGCAAAAAAATGGTTGATTCTCGTAAAGAATGGTTAACCAATTGGATGGTTGAAAGTAAAAGACGTAAAGAAGCTGGTTTAGCRGAAGAATATTTATATGAAAAGAACACCAGGACTGTTACTTATAAAGATTTTGTGAATAAAGAATTAGTTTTATTCAGTAACATGGACAATGAACGATCTATAGCATCTGTTGTTGATGGATTAAAACCTGGATCTCGAAAAGTAAATAATTTTTATTTTATACATAGATTAATAATGCACAACTACTAAATGGTGTAAAATTTGTGAATTTTTATAGGTCTTGTTTACTTGTATTAAACGGAATGATAAACGTGAAATTAAAGTAGCTCAATTAGCTGGTTCTGTAGCTGAGCATTCTGCATATCATCACGGCGAAGTGTCTTTGATGTCAACAATTGTGAATTTAGCACAAAATTATGTAGGAAGTAACAACATAAATTTGCTACAACCCATAGGTCAATTTGGTACTAGACTTCAAGGTGGAAAAGATGCAGCTAGTCCTAGATATATTTTCACAATGCTCAGGTAATTATTTTTATTCTTATTATTTTTTTTTAAGATACTAAAGTTTAATGTATTAAATTTTAGTCCCTTGACCCGATTGATCTTTCATCCCCACGATGATCCATTATTAACATATCTTCGTGATGACAACCAAAAAATTGAACCTGTATGGTACATGCCAATTATTCCTATGGTTTTGGTAAATGGTGCAGAAGGTATAGGAACTGGGTGGATGACCAAGATACCGAATCACAATCCAAGAGAAGTTATTAGTAACCTTAAACGAATGTTAAGAGGTGAAGAACCTTTACCAATGGTAATTTAAAACCAAACATAATTTCTATATTTTATTTTGAGTAAATTTATATAATTTGTATTAATTGCAGAAACCTTGGTACAAAAACTTTGCTGGACATATTGAAAAACTTTCTGAGCAAAAATTTATTAGTAGTGGTGAAGTGGGTATAATTGGACACAATAGAGTAGAAATTACAGAGCTTCCTGTTGGGGTTTGGACTCAAAATTATAAAGAGAGTGTGTTGGAACCTATGCTTACCGATACTGAAAAGTCTCCTGCTGTTATAACGTGAGTGGAAACAGAATATTTTCAGTTTAAAATTTTTAGGTCTAAATATATTTTGTTTTATTTTTCTCRAATTTAGTGATTATAAAGAATACAATACTGATACTACAATCAAATTTGTTATAACAATGACTCCAGAAAAACTTCAAAAAGCAGAAAACGAGGGTATCCATAAATTTTTCAAGTTACATTCGTCTATTGGTTTAACTTCTATGGTAAAATTTAAAAATATATATATGATTAATGATTATAGTTTAAATGTTTATAATTATTATTCAATATTTTTATGTTCAGTGTGCATTTGATAAAGATTGTGTCTTGAAAAAATATGAAGCTACTCAGCAAATATTACGTGAATTTTATGCTGTTCGATTGGACTTTTATGGTAAACGTAAGGCCTATTTGGAAGGCATGTTAGGTGCTGAAGCTGCTAAATTAACCAACCAAGCTAGGTAAGTAAACAAAAAAAAAAAAAAAATGATTTTTTAGAATATTTTTTGTCTATGACCTAATCTAAGATTTGAAACTTTTTTGTCTTTGTTTTTATATAGTAAAAGTGCTGGCATTATTAAATTTTTTTGAAAAGTTGTTTTAGAGAAATTTTAGTAATTCGTTTTTGTAGAGAAATTTGCAGTATTGGAATATTAGATTCTGAATCGAAAAATGAATTTACTGGTTTTTTTTTATGTCATCTTTGTTATTATTTTTTTCTTAATCATTATTTTGGGAATGATTTCTGGTAACATAATTGGATGATCTAGTTGATACTTTAGGGTGTAAAAATGTCTTAGTACTTTTCAAACCAATATAGTTAATCAGAAATATTTACGATRAATAAACTTCAATAAATTGTTGTTATTTTTGTGTGATTCAAATGTAAATAAATGTAAATACCTACTACAGTTTTAATTTTGATTCCTTGATTGTTGTTTATCAGTTTGAAGTTTAAATTTTTCTAACTGTTTTTTCATACTTCAGTTTTAGGAGAATAATCTATATCATATTTTGAATAGGTTGTTTTAAAATATCTTTCTAAATTATCTTTTTTTTTTTTTTGGATAGTGTTTTTTGATATATCAATCAATGCACATTCTACATTGTAAAAAAATCTRTTTCTCTTAATTTCTTTTTAATAATGATACAATTTTTTGGTTTTGTATGCGGTCCATACACTCTTAATTATAAATCTTAAATTTTAAACAACTTAAATACATTTTTATAAATTTAATAAAATAGAAACCAAATTAAGTCAGTGAAATTGCAGTACTGAAATAGAAATGGCTGCACGAACCAGGGCCAGTTATAGGCGTAGGTGACGTAGGCACAAGCCTATGGCGACAAAATTTATATTTCTATAATATATGAAAAATTATAATAAAACAAGAAGCGGCGATTTTTATTTTTGCCTACATTTAAAAGTTTGCACCATCCTGGCATGAACGATAAACATTTAACATACAAAACCTGAATAACAATCTCTGAAATCAAACTAACTATAGTACGCATCACGAAAACGTGCGTATGACCACCGCGAGACCAGTGGCAATTTCTCGTTGGTGGTGGCCAAACCGTTTTGYRCCAAATATAAAATTTAAAATTCGTATTTTTATATTAATAAATAATTATGTGTATGTATTTAATGATATTATAAAAAAAATTACAATTTACTGTACACAATAAAAACGTGAGTTAATTAAAAACAATAGAAATAGTTATGTAGTGATCACGTCGCCTACAGGTATCAGTAGTCAAGGATGATGTTTGAAAGGTGACTCTTGAGTTAATTTAAACCACGTGGAATTCTTCTTAGTTAAATTATTTGATTATTTATTTTGACAAAAGTACAAACATATATATTTATTTAAAACATGAAAGCTGAATTTATTTAAATATTTAAGTATTCTGAATAACTAGAATAAATTCGGTTTGACTCGAATATTTTCTAAGTTCAATTTAATTAATTTAAAGAACAGACTGGCGTGAAGGTGCTCTGGCTAGTCTGGTCAAGTCGCGTCTGAATACAGGCCGTTTCGTGGTCCCTTATATAGTGCTACCCTCTACTCCCCATAGTCTACTTGCTCTTGTCGCTGTTCTCACGGATGTGGTATAGTTATCTAGACTGATGGGAAATGTTACTCGCCCACATACAAGTCAAAAGGTGCATCCCGTGCAGCTGCAGACCTCGATAATTTATATTATTATGAATATTATTATTATGTAAAACTATATATTATGATATTACATTATAACATTGGTTCTTGGAACTTTTGTATTGATGTATAACCCCACACCTTGTGTACAGGGGATCAATGATCTTTTATAGTTGTATGACCACATGATTTCGTGTTTCTCTAATATTAATGATTTCCACGAAATACTGTCTCTCCTACATTTACAAAGTTCGTTGCACCCTTCCCGAGATTGGTGCGGCTGGTACCTAGTTGACTGTGAACTTTACAATGCGGGACGCTAGTCCATAGCAGTTATAATAATAATAATACTATTAATGTATTGAGGCCCACTGGTTTACAGAAAAACCGACATACGGCGCGCTGCGGTCATCCGCACGTTTTCGTGATGTGTACTGTATATATTTTGTAGTAGGTAGATAATTTATCAACCAATTCACTGCAAATTTGGTTTAAATTATTCCAATGTAACTAACTATATTGCCTTCATACTCTTGAATATGAATTCTTGACTATCTACTTTTTTCTCCGTTATTTGTTTACATGTATAAATTAACTTAATATTTTTTTTGCAAGATTCATTGTTGAAAAATGTGATGGAGATTTGCGAATTGAGAATCGTAAGAAATCTGAAATGGTCAAAGAATTGGTAAGACGGGGATATAACAGTGAYCCTGTCAAAGCGTGGAAACTAATTCAAGATAGAGAATCAGTATTGGTAATTAATTTATTATTTAAATTTATGAAACAAGAAAATATAATATCATAAGTTATGTAGATTTATTCTTGTTTTTTTTCCGCTACAGTTAGATGAAGCTCAAAGAATTGCTGAAGAAACAGAAGAAGATGAAACCACTCCACCAACTAGTGCCACATCTAAAGACGATGACAATTTAGACTATGACTATTTGCTTGGTATGTCTTTCTGGCATTTAACATTGGAGAAAAAGAATGAACTTTTAAGAAAGAAAGAAGAAAAGTGTACTGAATTAGATATCTTAAAAAAGAAATCTCCTGCTGATTTATGGAATGAAGATTTAGATGCATTGACATTAAAAGTATGTGCTTTAGGCTATTAACTTTTTATATGGTTGCTCCKTAAAACTTAAGCAAACTATAATAGTGACAATAGTACCTACATATAAATATGTTCTTGTTTTGTACATTCAATAAATTATKAGTTATTATAAATTTAAAATCAATGAGTCCCAATCCCTAGTTATTACTTATTAAATATTTTAAATAGTTTATTTTGAACTTTTATTATTATTTTTATATTTTAGTTAGATGAAGTTGAAGAAAAAGAAAGACTTGATGAATTAGGTGATGATTCTGGAAAATCAAAAGGAGTTGCTAAAGGTGGTAAATTAGCACTTGGTAAAAAAAAACCACTCTTGGCTGCTGATTCATTGCCATCGCCTGCTGCAAGACGTGTCATTCCTAAAATTGATGCTGAAATGTTAAAAAAAGAAGAGAAGTTAATAGCTGCAAAAGAAAATAAAGGAAAACGTGCTGAGAAAAAGGTATGTATTCAAATAATTATCATCTTTTTGATGTTACTAAATTAAAATGTTACATAACTAATTATGTTATTAGAAAAAAGGTGAAGGGGATGAAGGAGGTGAAGATGATCCAAAACCAGAAAAGAAAGCTCCTAAAAAGAAAACGGATGGTTTAAAACAAACCAAATTAAAGTTTGAAAAAATTGACGACGATGATAATGATGGTGGTGGTATCTTATCAGATTCTCCTCCACCACCTCCTAGAACTGTTATGAAACGAAAATCTGGTAAATTATTTATACATACACACCCATATATATATTTATTTATATTTATGATAAATTCATAAATAAAACGCAATTCATTTATTTCTTTTTAAATTTAACTAGCTGTCAACATTTCGTTTAAACTTGATGATGATGATGATGATGAGGATGATGATCTAGGAAATAAATCTGACCAAAGTTTTAAGACTTCGCCAATACGTAATGCATTTTCAGATGAGTAAGTTATGGTTAAAATACAAGTATTAAATAAAAAACTACTAATTTGATTRCTATGTAGACCAATTGTCTTCATGATTGTTATCCACTAACACCATGTCCTACATGAAGAGTGTGTGAATTGCATTGTGACCACGTTTTTCCATCATAATATGATGTCGTGTCTGATCTATAGTTAATAATTATRCCTTACATCAACCTTGTTTGTTAATTATACAACAAATAATGTTGATAGCATAAGAATTTATTTTTGTGCATTATTTAAATCGTCTTCAAACATTTAATTATTTGTATACCTACTTTTGAAAATTACATGAAATACAAAATGTATGCATCATTGTTTTAGACAGCTAATGTTATGAATGTTTTATTTTTACATGAATATTTTTATTGTGTCAACAGTCTCACGTTGTATTAGTTAATTTTTTACTGTTTAATTTTTTTTTTTTTTTTGTACTAAAGTTAATCTTGTCAGTACAAAAGATAAATAATTCTTCAATGCTTTTCTCAATAATTGGGAAAATGGGATATTTTATGCTAAATCAGATCTTATTTTGTTGTAATTCATACACTAATATCTGAAGGTACTCAAAATGTTCACTAAATGTTCATATTTTTTTATTTATGTTACCTAGTTAAAAAAAATTTGGTGCAATTTAAAGAAATTTAAAATTTTAATGTGTGAATTTATTTTAGGTTTTTACTATGATTATCATTAAAGAATACAATACAATGTTTTTCACAAATAGTTGATACTAAAGTCAAATGATCTGAAAAATACCTACAGGCCCCTTGCATACATTACAGTGACTTACTTAATAACTTACCTAACCTAACCTATGTTCTCACTTTTTTACAATTTTTAACACTTTTTTAAATTAAAAATATTCTTTTATTTCAAACWGATGATTTTTGTTTGTTTTATACGATTCTAATTTTAATCATATTTATTTTAGGGCTACATCAGATGATGAGTTTGTTCCAAAAAAGAAGAAAGAATCTCCTAAGAAGGCTGCTAAAAAAGCACCTGCTAAAAAGAACAATGGTACAGCTAGTACTAAATTAACAGCAGAAGATGGGCCTGTAGCAAAAAAACCYCCAGCTAAAAGAGCGCCAGCTAAAAAAGCTCCAGCTAAAAAAACTACTGTGGTTAGTATTAGTGATGAAGATGATAATTCTCCCGTAACTAAGCCTGCTAGGAAACCAAGAGCAGCTGCTTCTAAACCAAAACGTAAATACAGCTCCTCTGATTCAGATGATGTGTTCAAATCTCCATCTACTAGTAGTAAGTTCATATACTATTTTTTTTCAAGCTATTGATTTTTGCCTCATRTTTTTCCTCTGTTTAATTTAGGTAAACCTCAAAAATCTTTTGACGATCTATTTGGAGAAAATACAAAGAAGGTTATGTCTGATGATGATGATGATAGTTTTAAATTGTCTAATTCATCAGACGACGATTTTATTCCAAAATCAGGTAATTCATTTTAATGGTATTTTTTTTATATAGACAATAATATATTAGGATATCAGATAATGCCTAACCTAGATATTTGTGTTTTATATATATACATATATATTACCAAATTATGTTTTTAAAAAGATTTCATAATTTTTAAAGCCACGTTTAATATTAAGTTCTGTTCATCTTATTCAGTGATTATGTATTTTATAATGAAGAAACAGCAACTGATGATATATCCATTTTAATCTATTAATTATTATGATAGTATTTTTCTAGTTTTCTATTTTATTATCTTATATTATATTATATTATTGCAGTTTATTTAACCGAAAATTTATGTTTTTCATTATTCTGTTTCAACATTATTTTCATCAACTTCTTCTAACTTGGATTTACTCAACTCATTCCCATAGTTTTCTAACTCTTTAATTGACTTTGCTAGTTCCATATTCTGTTCTTCCATTTCCTGAATTTGACTTATCATACTATTATAGTTAGCCTTAAGCATTTTTAGTTCTTCTCTTTCCTGAACAATTTCTGTCATATGAGTGCGAATGTAATCCAATGGATCTGTTGGTCTTGTTTCTAATTGATAAAGATTTGCTAATACATTGGTCAAAGCATCAATAACACCTAAATCACTCAAATATTTTTTGAAGTCTTCGCGTTTGTTTGCTGAATTTTCTTGATTCGCCATTTTTGAAAAATTATTTTTATTTATTCAAACAATTTAACATAAAATTCTTGTCCAAGTGAAAATATTTTTATATTTATTATTTATTTCTGTCACCAAGCATTTTTTTAAATTATGATTGTTAATCTGTCTTGTTGTAATATTATATTATAGTTCTATAGTAATTAATAAACATTTGTTTTTAATAGGAACTAAAAAGAAAGCTTCGACAAGAAAACCTCCCGCAAAGAAGGTTAAAGCAAAATCTCCTTTTGATTCAGATTCTGAATAAAACCATTTATGTACTTCAATTATGCATGTTTAATTGTGAATCCTCGTTGTATCATAATTATTTTATTCTTTTCTGTTATTTTCTTGAAGAACTTATTAAATATATGTCTTTTAATAGAAGATTAATATTTAAGTACCTAATTTATGTTCAGTTTAAACTATTATTAAGAAATTTTAAAGAGCACTTGAAAATTTTCAGAGTAATGTACAAGTTTTTTT